AATCTTAAAAGCAGTTGTATTTCTCTACTTGGATTAAGCATTTTTAAAATACTTATAAAGATGGTGATTTAAAATTTGTTACTAAAAGGCAAACATTGACTACTTTCAAGTGGTTTAGACCTCACTCTTTCTTAATAGCTCTAATACTTCTGAAAACTTTTGAAATTAAGATCTGTAATTTTACAAAAATATGTTCCATACAAATTTGTAGCTTAGCTTCCTAATATGCTTGAGTTTATACAAGAGTCAATCATTTATTTATTGCTTCTTTTGGAGAGATTAATAATTTTTTATACTGTTTTACATAAAAGAAATTAAAAAACAAAACCACAGAGCCTCACTCTGTAGCCCAGGTCAGCCTTGAATCTGTGGCAGTTCGCTTGAAGGAAATGTCTGACAAAATCTGTGTGCTATAAAATTCACTGCTTCAAGTTAATATTCAGTATCTTCCGTATACTCCCGCACTATGTCATTGTCCAATTCCAGAACATTTTTATGATTCCAAAAAGCCCGATTCCAACTAGCGGTCTTTAAGAATAACTTTTTAATATATTAAAATTTAGTGACAGACTTTTTATTCTGTGTCTGAAAATGGTCCATACTCTGTGGTCACCAAATACATGGAATCACTTCATTCCTGCCAGCATGTATACTGGTGTGTGAATGGGAGTGAGACTCCCCTGGGGGTGCCTCTCCACACAGACCTGGCAGCAGTATTTATGAGTTGAATAAAGTGAGTTTAGTCATTTTCTTCTGCTTTGTTTTAGTTGCTAGAACTAGATTTTGCATGAATTGATTTCTTTTTTTAATATTTTATTTTTATTTTATGTGTATGCGTGTATTGCCTGCATGTAGGTAAGTGCACCAGTGTCGTGCGGTGCCTGTGGAGTCAGAAGAGGCTGTCAGATCCCCTGGAACTGGAGTTACAGACAGTTGGGATTCGAACCCAGATCTTCTGCAAGAATAACCAGTGTTCTTAACCACTGAACCATCTCTCCAGCCCCATGAATTGATTTCTTAATGAATTGAAAATGCATTTTTTAAAATCAGCACTGATTCTAAGAGAGATGAGTAACTATGGAGGTCGAATGCCTACAGAGCAATAAAATTTAACTCCTCACTTTAGTTACACTTGAGCATTTGAAATAAGAGAACATGTGCCCAGGGAAAAAGTCAAGAGAGCGAGGGTTGCAAGAGCATGATGTGGCAAGAAACCAGCTAAGAGACGGCCTTGAAGGAGAAGCCTGAGCACTGAAAATAGTCAACTGGGAGGAACGGACACTAAATTATGATTTCTAACATTAGTGTAATATCAACATTTTGACTGCCAAAGGAGTTTGTCAAATGCCTCTGGCTTCTGGCAGTTGGACCTTAAATAGGCAATAAAGTAGAATTCATTATTAGAAAAGTATATATCTTTTCTTTGAAAGCATGATTTGGCTTACAGAATAAATCAGAGGTTTTAAAAATTGGGGAGAGGGGTTTGTTCTGCCAAGAATCGCTCCTTTATCAGGGTTCTCTGGGCACTTTTACTGTAAACTTTATCATTATTATTCTATGTGTATAAATGTGCACACACACACATGCATGCATAGGTCAGCTCTGGGGAGTCATTCCCACTGTGGGTTTTAGGAATCAAATTCAGGTTGTCAAGCTTGCAGAGCAAGCTGGTTATGCTGAGCCACCTTGCCAGCCCTCTCCAGACACTATAAAGGACCCTCATGAACCATCTAACACAAAACTGCTGTCTACTGCTGCTGTCTTGAGAGTGCACCCTGCTTTTGCTTTTGAATTTACTGTTTCCTATTGTGTGGCATGTGGATGAGTCTTGACTAGTGAATACTCTCTGGAATACAGTTCTGAATAGACAAATGCCCATTCTCTGGCCGGCAGTAGTGCTTTCTAGCATTGAACTTAAGCGGGTCTTGAAAGACTTCAGATGGATGGATTTGTCTGCGCTCTTCCTCCTGGCTGGCTGTTCATAAATGATCCTAAATGAATGGTTTCTGCCTGGTGAACACACTTCCCCTCAAAAAGTGAAGTCACAGCTTCCTGTTAGCCCTTCCCTTACCTACCAACCTAAATTTGACTTGTCCATAGTTACAGGCACTTACAGAAGTTATTTTTTGTATCTTAAATCCCACGTGTTTTCTTTCTAACTCCTTGCCTGAAGACAAAAACATTGCATTTTTAAGATTCCCTTGGTTTATTTTGAAAAATACCTTCCTGACAAGTCCAAATCCTGCTATCCTCAACAAGTATGGATCATTTATGTGTTTAAGAGATTATGCTAAATACTTTGCATGCTTGATCTCCTCAAACTTTGTGTAAGTAAAGTTGAGCATCCCTAATTTAGAAATCCCAACCTGAAATGCTCTAAAATCCAAAAACTTTTTAACATTGATGTGAAGTCTCAATAGAAGACTCCGCTAATAATCTCAGATTGCAGGCAACACAGGGGTGTGCTAAGCGTACTGTAATTACCTTCAGGCTATCAAAGGTGTTCATTAGACATAAATGAATTTAGAGTTTAGATTTGAGTCCCATCCCCAAGATAACTCATGTGTGGAAATATTCCAAAATCCGAAGATCTCTGAAATTTAGACCACTTTAGTTCCAATTGCTTTGAATAAGAGATTCTCAGCCTATACTATGGCTATTCTGATTTGAAGATGGAGAAATTGCATGACTTTGAGCAAGAGCTTTTCCACACCATGGTCAGGTGTAAAACTGCCACTCTATGCCAAGGCACTGAGCAACCATTGCATCTGTCTTTGGTCATTCAGTTTCAAGTGAGTTCTTAGTCAGTGTTAAGTAAGCAGAAAATTCCAATGGAGATAGTTCATTTCTGTCCTTGACAGTTCTTTTTCTGCTCCCTAACTTTTGAATGAGTGCAAATGACTCCACTCCTCCCACCTCCCCTCCATCTTCCATCTATATTTTAGCCTTTCTTCCGATCTCATTTGCTTTTTTCATCCTGGTGTTAAATCTCAAGTGGCAAAAAGACAGGGAGAAAGAAGAGCAGTGGTGGCCTTCCTCCTTGACTGCCATCCTGTTATGTAGGTTCTTTCACAACATCCTTATATTGCGTCTCACAAGACTCTGAATGTACACCTCTCCTCTGGTGGCTCTGTCTCAATGTGTAGATCACAATTTATGAACAATAGTAACCTTAACATTGAAAGGAACATAGAAAAGTCCACAGCATGAGGTTATGGGCCCACAAGAAGCTAGTTCAGTTTACACAGCTGGAAATTTTTGCAGTCAGATATTCTGGTAGTGATTGCCTGTTATACCACAGTGATAACAGACGCAGCATCCGAGTGCACTAAGCACTGTGATCTCATTGGGACAGAATGGGTTTGCAGTTCACTGAAACTGAGAGCTAGTCTTTGAATGAACTATGTCACCCTGAAAGTGTCTTCAGGGCCATTTAACGTGATATTTTATATTTTGCAGTGATGAACAACAACGAGATTATTTAATGGAGAGACGGGACCTCGCCATTGATTTTATTTTTTCTTTAGTATTAATAGAAGTTTTGAAACAGGTAGGTGATTAATTTATCGCCACTTTTTGCTAACTCTAATCTAAAACTACTTGAGTTTTAAAAATCTGTTTGTGGTTTATGAATTCTAAACACGGGGTGATCTGAATTATGTTTATTGATGGCTGTAGGTCAAATGTAATTCTTGGAAGTACTGTTATTAATGTACAACTGTTTTATAGTCCCTTCCAAATACATTGTCATCTTTATTTTTTTCAGATTCCACTCCATCCTGTAATAGACAGTTTAATACATGATGTGATTAACTTGGCTTTTAAGCACTTTAAATACAAAGAAGGGTAGGTTGATTTCTTTCTTTAGAATGTTAAAGAAGATAGCTCTTTAAAACTAAATCAGCTGTTTGCTCTTTTCCAGTACACCAGATTCCTAACTTGTCTAATTGTGCCTTACTTAGGTACCTTGGTCCTAACACTGGCAATATGCACATTGTGGCAGACCTGTATGCAGAAGTCATCGGAGTGCTAGCACAAGCTAAGTAAGTGAACATCCCAGCCCTTGACCATGAAGAGCTGAGTGCTTGTAACTTAAAAGGAGCTCATAGGAACTGGGGCTGCTTTTTGGAATACATGCCCATCCCTGAAAACTACTAGAGGCTCCATCAAGGCAGGTGCAAATTACTTGTTTCATTTTGACACTTGGGCCAGATACTTCCATGTTCCTGCATTTTAGGTACTGTTTCCAAGAAAGAAATGGACTAATTATTTTTCTCTCTGCCCAAATATTCAAAGAAAATTATTCATTTTTCAAGTTTTATTTTCTATATTCTAAGATTGGATAATTGTAATCTATCATTTGTGAGTGGGAAAATTCCATTCTACAATGTCCCTTTTACTATAACTTTACTTAATTCAGCTGATCTAAAAATGTCCCAGACACTGTCATTGGAACAAGTTGTTGGGGGGGATTCTCATTGCTAAATTTATCTGGCCCCATAATGCTACTTAGCAGGCTAGAACAAAGTAATGCTAGATTATCAGCAATGATATACTTCTTCCAAAAGTGATGTCACACCCTAATTACCCGTCTTCATTTTATCTAACCCAGAGGCAAATCAGCCAAGATCCTGAATGTCTACATTAAGTAAAATGAGCTAAAGACATAATATGAATTCTGGCCAAGAGACCAGCTTACAGCGAGCGCTACCTCAAACTTAGTGAAATGTAATCCTTGGAGATTTTTATCTTCAAGATATGGAAATCCTTATAAAGATCTATTTTATTGTTTTATTAATTTTTTTGTGTTTGTATATGTATGCATGCCACGTGTGTGCAGGTGCCCACAGAGGCCAGAAGAAGCTGCTGGATCCCCTATACCTGGAGTTACAGGAGGTTGTGAGCCACTTGACATGGGTCCTGGGAACTGAATCAATGATCTTCTGAAAGAACACCATGTACTCATAACCACTGAGTCATCTCTCCAGGCCTGTGAGATCAAATCCATTATTCCCATAGCTTGGCGCACCTCTCAGTCCTCATCAGAGAAGTTTCTTTTTACAGTAGATGCTAATGAATACAGAGACCCACAATTGGTCAATGTGTAAAGAAGAAGAGTGGAATTCTGCTCTACTGGGACATCTGTATCACACCCCCTCAAGGCTCATGGATCATCCAGGAAGAGGGATGAAAAGAAATGAAAGATTCTAAGGGCGAGAAGTAGTGATCTGCAACCAAACAGTATTTGCTAGATATGACAGGCCTTTGTACATATGAACTCCTAGTGGCTGTGACTGCATACACAAAGCCTGCACAAGGTGAAGCCTGCTAAAATCCCAGCGTGGATGGGAAGGAGCTCATGAAGTCCCACCTCTAGCTGAGGAGCTATTGCCAATTAACACCTGCTGGGGAGGTGGAGTTGGTTTTCTTCAGGGATTCAGCCTCCAGTAGGCCACCTATGCTCCAGTAGCTGGCCCTACATCCATGTACATATAGGCAGCACTAAGTGGACTCAGTGGGTTTGAAAACAGAGCACTTGAATTTGGGAGGGAAATGTGATGAGTTGGAATGGGGAGGATTTGGAAGGGAGGGACTAAGGGGTGGGTTTGATGAAAACACATTATGTACATGTATGAAATTCTCAGACAACAAAAAGGTAAAAATAAAATAGATATTTTTAAGAATTAACCAGATCACCTCATCCATAGAGAAAAATCCTTAGGTTTGTTTTGTTTTGTTTTGTTTTGTTTTTTTTGCATATACTTGTCCCTTGGTGTGCACTTGGGTTTGGTTCCAGGACATCTCTTCCCCATAGGTACCAAGATCTGGGATGCTCAAGTTTCACATGAATGGCATACACAGTGTTTAACCTATGTTCTTCCTTTCTTCCTCCCATACACTTTGAATCATCTCTGAATTTATGTAATAATACAATGTGAGCTCTGTGTCAATAGTTGTTATGCTGCACAGTTTAGAGAATAATAAAAAGAAAAAAGGCCTCCAAAAGAGAAATGGAATTTCTTAGGTTAGTAGCATGTAAATACATAATTTATCAGAACAAGTTGTATTATTATTATTATTGTTATTATTATTATTATTATTTGGACAACTTGTAGTAGGAGTTGGTCCTCTCCACCACTGAGTCCCAGAGCTTGAACCGAGGTAGGTCATCAGACTTGGCAGCAAGCACATTTTACCCACTGATGATTTGCTGTGGTGGTTTTTTTGTTTTGTTTTGCTTTTTGCCTAACATAGAAAAGCATCAGTGTTAGAAAATGGAGGAGGAACTTTTAGAAATCAGGCCAGTAACTCCAGGGAAAAGTATCCAAATTAAAGACTGATAGTTACAGAGTAAAAAGAAGTTAACCAAAGTGTACATAAAAATTAAGTGATAGAAGCTGGAGAGATGGCTCAGAGGTCAAGAGCACTTGCTGTCATTGCAAAGGATGGAATTCAGTTCCCAGCTCCTGCATTGGGTGGCTTGTGACTGCCTGCAATGCCACCTCCTGGGGATTTAACCCCCTCTTCTGGGTTATGTGGACACTGGCACACAGGTGGCATACACACAAACACATATACCTAAATAAACAATTTTTAAAAAGAATTAAATGGTAGAGTTAATGGTCCTAAGTCTGTAGTGTACTTAAAAAAAATTATTATGTTAACTGTGGTTTGTGCCTTACTAAGGAAAAGAGGAATAATGCATTTTGAATAGATTTCCATTGTAAATGAGTAATAAATGTATTGGCATTAAACCGAACACTACAGTTATCTATTAGTTCCTGTGTACCTGCCTCGTGCCTAAAAAAGATTCTAAAAAGAAGTCATTAATACGTATTTGTGGGCTTATCAAACTCTGAAAATCTCAGCGTTTTCCTTTGTAATTATCCTAGCATAATGTCTTCATGCTATCATTTGGAAAAACTTAATATGCTAAAAGTGGATTTTTGTGTTTGTCTTAGGTTTTATGAGTAATGTATAAAAATACTGGATACTGTCAAATGACCTTCCTTACATGAATGAATTGAGAAATAATGTCATGCCAAGCATGACGGCTCAAGCCGATACCCAAAGCTCAGGAGACTAGGGCAGAAGGATTGCTGCAAGTAAGAGGCCAGCATGGGATACATAAGTTTTGGGCCAACCTGGGCTACAGAGTGATACCCTATCTCAAAAACCAAAGGGAAGGGAAAGGGAAGGGGAAAAGAAAGGGTAAGGAGGAAAGAAAGGAAAAGAAAAGAAATATAACTAAGTAATAAGCAACATTCGAAGCAATTTCTATTCTATATTAGGTTTATGATCTATCGAGCCAATATTTATTTTTTATTTTCATGATGTCAATTCTGCAGTAGTTGAGTGTAAGAAATGCCTCATTTTGGGCAGTGCCCTAGCATTTTCTGGTCACTGACAAATTCTTTAATTCCTGTCTTTAAAAGGTTCTTTTTTTCCTTCATCAGTAAGGTATGACTGTAAGTAAATGACATTTTTAAAGTCATTTAAGTTTCTCAGACGTGCCCCGGCCAGCCATCTCAAATAGCCCATGAGACATTCTCAGCCAAGCAATGTATAATCTATTCATAGATGGTGTGATCTTAAATTAATGTCACATTATGAATTACCTCATTACTTCTTTTTCAAAGTATACCAGCACCATTACTTTATCACTGCATTAGAAACTTACTGCTTCCTTTGTTATCAGCAGTGCAGTTAACTCCCCTCACCCCCTTGTAAAGTTGAGTAATTAATTCTAATTTTAGATTGTATACCTAGCTCCAAATAGTAATGTGTATGAAATAGCTTCTTCTTTATGACTTCAGGTATTAGGGTTTAGTTTGATCTTTGACTTTTGGCAGAATCACTATGTATAATCTTACTAGTGATAACACCACTTAATTCCTGGCTCTAAGGACTGTTTCAATATTGAGATATTCAGACATAGTGATCACTTTTTTAAAATCAAATTAAGTTAAAATTAGGCTTTCTAAGTTCTTTGGTTAAAATTTGATATATTTGTTTAAATTGTGATTGTTTCTAAGATTCATAGATTTGAAAACTGCATTTTGTTTTCAAGATACAATCTTACTCTATTCCTAGACCCCACAATGTGTACTATACATTTTAAAGCAGAGGTTTATTTTTATGTGAGTTTATAGAATACCACAAATTGACTACTTAATTACTGCTTTTGCATAATACAGTACCAATTTGTAAATATTAATGGTCATAGAAAAAATTATTTTCCAAAAAATAAATCATTAAAAAGAAAAATTGGTCATAAGTGGAAGTATACTTTTGGATTACTTTTATCCTAATAACATGTTTATGTCATGTAGGGCTTTTAAAAGTGAAAAATAGTCATGCATATTTTTAAATCAGAAATAAACTTTTAGCCTCCATGTCATGACAATACTGGGTTGTATAAGCAACCTGTTCTTTCTTAACTTTATTTTAGCCATGAATTAGGACTAAATAAATGTCTAAATTTAAAGTTTTCTATGATAAATGCCTATATTTTATTCATTAGTAGAAGTAAAAGCATATTAATAACATTTCAACTTTGAAAAAGGTACTTATAGCTAACTGAGTACCCTCTGCAGGATACTTCTCAATAGCATCCTCATAGTGGGTTACACAGCTTCTGATTAAATACCTCCATGACAGAAACTTATTACCCCAAGGAAATTAACACACTCAGCATAGTTACTAAGCACCTACTGTGTGCCTATCTTCAGGCAGTAAACAATAAATATGTAAATTGTAATACATTCAAGTTCTTGTTCTTCATTCCTTCCCTTTTTCCTTCCTCCTTCCTTTCTTTTCTGTGGTAATGGGAATTGAACCTAGGGTCTTACATATGCTAGGCAAACAACTGCCATTAAACCTAGGGCCTCAAGCATGCTAGCCAACCACTCTGCCACTGAACTTTACTCCTAGCCCTCGTTTCTTTCTTTTTCTTTCTTTCTTTCTTTCTTTCTTTCTTTCTTTCTTTCTTTCTTTCTCTTTCCCTCCCTCCCTCCCTCCTTCCTTCCTTCCTTCCTTCCTTCCATCCATCTTTATCTCTATCTCTACATCTCTACACCCATCTCTATCAAAAGACTAAAGAAGAGGCTGGAGAGATGGTTCAGTGGCTAAGAGCACTGGCTACTCTTGCAGAGGACCCAAGATAAGTTCCCAGCACCCACACAGAAACTAACAACTGTCTGTAACTCCAGTTCCAGGAGATCCAACAGCCTCTTCTGTTCACTGCAGGCATGCACAACGTTAGAGTCATATTTAAAAAAAAATAAAAATTCACAATCCTAGGGCTGGAGAGATGGCTCAGTAATTAAAAGCACTGACTACTCTTGCAGAGGACCTAGTTTGGTGCCCAGTACCCACATGGCAACTAACTGTAACTCCAGTACCAAAGAATCCGATGTCCTCTTCTAGCCTCTATGGGCATTGCATGCACATGGTACACTTACATACATGCAGGCAAAACACTCATACACATAAAATAACTAAATCCAAAAGAATTTGTTTTAACTAACAATCCTACCTCAGCCTTCTGAGTAGCTGGGATTACAGACCCATACCACAGGCCGGGCTTCATTTCACTTTCGGATGTCACTTTTGTGTTCATCTACAGAATGATTGTTCAGGTGTTTGAAGAAATGTCTGCCTGTCAGGTCTGCTCATCTTCAAGCTGTATGTGATAGCTGACTGGGCACTTACTAAAGGTATGTCAGCTTCCTAAGGATGCTATAATAAAGCACCGCAGACTTGACAGCTTTACTGACAGGCATTTCCTCAAAGTTCTACATTAGAATGATTGACCCATTTCACTTACATGGGTACCTCAGGCTAACAGATGCAGGAAGCCAAAATTGATGACCCATTTATCAAAAGTGATGAGAATTAGGATGTTTTCCTTGTTTCTTTTCTTTTCTGTTCTTTAATTAATAGTCAGACCATTTATATCTCAGCAGTAGTCGGATAGTTTTCATGTTTGCATTCTTTTACCATTAAGTGCTTTGAAGATTTGCTACTGTAGTCTATCCTCATAGCCTTAAGATGGATTCTTTTTTTTTTTTTAAGGCTGTAGGAGGGGCTGGAGAGATGGATCAGTGGTTAAGAGCATTGGCTGCTCTCACGGAAGACCTGGGTTCAATTCCCAGCACCCACTGGCAGCTAACAACTGTCTGTAATTTTAGTTCCAGCGGAACCAACACCCTCTTCTGACCTCTGTGGGCATTTCACGACATGGGTGCACCTACCTACATGCAGGCAATACACTCATACACATAAAATATAAAATAAAAATAAGAAATATGTTTTTATTTATATAATAAAAATATGTATGATAACATAGTTGTAATTAGTATTAATCTGCTTTTAAACAAGATGCTTTAAGTTTGCTGGGAACAGAGACCATGACTTTTGTGTCTCTTCTACATTCACCAGATTAACTTCTAGAAGCCCGTGGATATAGTCTAGAAGCCCATGGATATAGTAGACAGCCCACTTATCGCTATCGTTTTCGTCCTTATGGTGCTAGGAAAGCCAGAATCTTGGCATGCTGGGCAAGGGCTGTAATACTGAACTACATCCACAGCCATTGGTTCTTTAAGACAGGGTCTTGCAGTGTAACCTAGTCTGGCTTCAAACTCTGGATCCTCTTGCCTCTGCCTCTGGAGTACAGGAATCACAAGCGAGCACCAAACTCCACCTTTATCTTTTAGCTGTAATTCCAGTTTTCCCATTAATAGACTTTTCCTTCAAGTTTAAAAATATATTTTTCCATAATCATTAACCTAAAATTATACAAGAACAACAACAGGGTCTGCGCAGGCCAAAGTCAAACCCAGGGGCCAGCTGGTGCGATCCTGCGAAGCCTCTGGAGCCGGTGCAACCCGTGCCGCGCACCTCCTGGTTTCCCGGCAGCTGCACAGGCATGGCCACCCCGCCCAAGAAAGTCTGTTCCTCTAGCCACCCGCTCCGAGGGCATCGCATCAAGAAAATCTCCATCGAAGGCAGCATTGATGCAGGAAAGACATTTGTGAATCTCCTTAAAGTTTGCCAGGATTGGGAAGTGGTTCCTGAACCTGTTGCCAGATGGTGTAATGTTCAGAGGGCTCAAGATGAGTTTGAGGAACTAATATCATCTCAGAAAAGTGGAGGGAATGTTCTTCAGATGATGTATGAGAAGCCTGAGCTATGGTCATTCACTTTCCAATCATAAGCCTGTCTCAGCTGGATCCGGCTCAGCTTGCCTCCCTCAGTGGCAAGCTCAAAGATGCAGAGAAGCCTGTATTGTTTTTTGAACAATCCGTGTATAGTGACAGGTATATTTTTGCATCTAATTTGTACGAATCTGATGGCATGAATGGAACAGAGTGGACAATATATCAAGATGGCAAGACTGAATGAATAGCCAGTTTGGCCAAAGCCTTGAATTGGATGGAATTGTTTATCTTCCAGCTACTCCAGAGAAATATTTAAGCAGAATATATTTACGAGGAAGAAACGAAGAGCGGGGAATTTCCTTTTGAATATTTAGAGAAACTTCATTATAAACATGAAAGCTGGCTTCTGCACTGAACCCTGAAAGCCAACTTTGATTATCTACAAGAGGCGCCTGTCCTCACACTGGATGTTAATGAAGACTTAAAAGACAAACATGAAAGTCTAGTTGAAAAGGGCAAAGAATTTTTGAATACTTTGTGATTGTACTGAAGACTAACTACAGACAACAACATGTTTCCAGAGACTTCAGGTCTATGTGTCATTGTAACTCAGTATTCACACAAAGGTCTTCTCAAGGTTCAGTTTTTAAACCATTTTTGTTCCAAGGGGGGAAAAGAAAAGGTGTTTGTTTGTTTGTTTTGTTTTTGTTTTAAAGGATCCTGTGTAAAACTTTGAGCCCCCTTTACTCTCAAACTTCTCTCATTTCCCTCCTTTCTTTCCTCAGTTTTTAAAACAGAGGTCTCGGGACTGGAGAGATGGCTCAGCAATTAAAAACACTGACTGTTCTTGCAGAAGACTGGAGTTCAAATCCCAGCACACATGGCAACTAACAACTGTCCTAACTCCAGGAGGACAGCCTCCTCTGTCCTCCATGGGCATTGCACGACACGGGTGTACTTACCAACATGCAGGCAATACATGCATATACATAAAACAAAAGTAATAAATAAAAATTTAAAAAAAAACAGAGGTCTTTAATTGTTTGATGTTTCCAGAGCAATATAGTGAGTGAGCAAACTATTTATAAAGACCCAGTCTCTCCTTTCCTCTGTTATCCTGAGCTTTGGCATTTTCCCATGGTGCTTCTCACCTTATTAGTGATCAGTTTCTTAGCCAGAAAGTTTAATTGTTACATATAAATGGTGTGTGTTCTATGTAAGTTAGAGTACCTATTAAAAGTTGAAAAGTAGAAGTTGGTTCCCAATTTGGTAACAGTATAAATTTTATAAATAATCTTTTTTCTAAAAAAAAAAAACCAAAAAAACAGAAAACTTGAGCAATGAAAATTGGGATATTTGAGGCATTATTTGGAATACAAGACCAAAAATTATTTACTTTCTTTCAGAAATAGCTGTTCCTCATACTCTGTTGCTCAGTGCTCAGATACTCACCATCAGATAGGTTATGGCCCTAGGGAGCTACAAGTACTTAGAAAGTAGCTAAGGCTGAGGAAATGCCATTGTGTTTCTTTGTTTGTTTGGTCTGCTCAGTTTAAGAGCTAAGCCATCGTGTTAGGGTCTAAAGAGCAATGGAGCCACTGTCTTAAATACATGTGAAGCATCATAGTGAACAAAGAAGGAAGTGGATTCTTCCGAATCCCAAAGGTCAAATCCTTGTGACCTCATTCTTGGTCACTGTATTGCACCTCACTCTTGCAGGCCCCAACTCTGGACCTGGTAACTCTTGGGTGCTAGAGGTGCCCATTAACGTGACTTCCTCACCTACTACTTGGTAAGTCATTTATGTTCTCTTCTTAGGTTCCCTGCTGTCAAGAAGAAATTTATGGCTGAGCTGAAAGAGCTTCGGCACAAAGAGCAGAGTCCCTATGTGGTGCAAAGCATTATCAGCTTGATAATGGGGATGAAATTCTTCCGAATTAAGATGTATCCAGTGGAGGACTTCGAAGCATCACTTCAGTTCATGCAGGTAAAGTCCCCATAGGTGAGCCAGGGCTGGTCCACTCGAGAAGTTCCTTCCATCAAAGTGGCATAACTAGAATGTGAACATTTGCATAGTCCCCAACATAAGAAGGGCCAACAGACAGTATTCTAACTTTTCAGTGTGATAGCTGTGATACACATTTAATAGAAATCATATTTTATATTGCAAAAAAACATGCAGTAGTGAGGATTGACCCCTAGGGCCTCAGTCATGCTAAGCAGACACTCTACCATTCAGCTACCCTCCTAACACTTTTTAAGTTTTTTTTATTGTGAAACCAGGCTGACCTCAAACTTATAATCCTCCTACCTCAGATTCTGAATTTGAATCTTTTGCTGGCTGGCACTATATAGTCCATAGTCCTCTTGTGAGGCTGGACTATGGCAGCAACTGCAGCCTCTAATCATCCCTGCAGCCACCAAGGGAGACCAGGTACTCCTCAATGCACTGTGATGCTAAGCTAGGATGTTTAGTAGGTTATGAGTTTTAGATAGAATTTCCCTTTACAGTATTTTCAACTTACACTGAGAGTATTGGGACAAAACACCTTAAGTTCAGGAGCATCCATCCTTGACAGTATAGAAAAAAAGAAAAAGATTCTGTCTTCTCAGTTACTCACAAAGTGCCTTGAAACCAAATAATAAAGTTGCCAAAACATAATTTCATTTTTAAACTTTCATACCAGCTCTGGAGTTGGATGTACTATAGAATTTCTTATTTGTTGGCTTTTTTCCTCCCTCTCATTCCTTGGTACACACAGCCGACTGCTTTACTTTTTGGTCAGTAGCACTGGGTTGACCACATCAGCATTCACAAACATAAGAACTTTAATGAGGAAAGAAATCTGTTTTATTTGTCCTATGAAAAGAAGGCTGCCGGGCGTGGTGGCACATGCCTTGAATCCCAGCACTTGGGAGGCAGAGGCAGGTGGATCTCTGTGAGTTCAAGGCCAGCCTGGTCTACGTACTGAGTTCTAGGACACCTGGGGCTACAGGGAGACCCTGTCTCAAAA